TAGGGTATTTGTAGTCAGTTCAGTAGTCTGGTCCTCTTCTTCTTCTTGGGATTTCATCTGGGTAGGATAGAGACTCATATCCTGGAGAACACCCGTTTTAGAGACGCCGATTCCCTTGTGTCTCCTAATAATAATAATAATAATAATAATAATAATAATAATAATAATAATAATAATAATAATAATAATAATAATAATAGTAAAGTTGGAAGGGACCTTGGAGGTCATCTAGTCCAACCCCCTGCTCAGGCAGGAAACCCTATACCATTTCAAACAAATGGCTGTCCAGTCTCTTCTTAAAAACTTCCAGTGTTGGAGCATTCACCGCTTCTGGAGGCAGGTTGTTCCACTGGTTATTTTGGCGCCTGGCTTGGGAAGCCTGTCTTAATAAGACGTCTTGCGACGTTGTGAGGTTAGGACCAAAGCAGAATTTGCCCAGAATTTGGAAGGGGTGGAGACACACCCTTGTTGCCCTCACTATGGGCTATTGAGTGATGGAGTAGAGAGCATAGGTGTCAAACTCGCCACGTCACGTGACGTGTTCGCAAAGTATTGTGACGTTTTTTGCGTTGCCAGAGGTGGGGTGGGGACAGTCTCCGTATGACGCAACCGGCCTGCGGGCCGGCAGTTTGACACCCCTGGAGTAGAGTTACCATCCTGATCTGCACCTGTCCAGAGCTCTTATGATAGAAGAGAATATTTGTAGCTGTGGGTTCAACTGATCTATCTAGCACAGGGGTCGGCAACCTCGGCTCTTTTATGACTCGTGGACTCCAACTCCCAGAATTCCTGAGCCAGCCATGCTGAGGGGAAAGGGAGAGGTTTCCAAGCTGAGCCATGTGACTCGGGAATTCTGGGAGTTGAAGTCCATGAGTCATAAAAGAGCCGAGGTTGCCTACCCCTGATCTAGCAGCATTGATATTGCCACCTAGTTGGGTCATGAAACGTCTGCAAGAAAACAACGAAGCTCCAAGAGTAACAAGGACCCCACAACCGTTGTCCTCCTCCTCCTCTTCCTCCTCCTCTTCCTCTTCCTCCTCTCCACACACCCCATTCCCTTCTCACACTGAGGGTGTTGCCTAGTTGAGTAACGAAACATCTGCAAAACCCCCCCACCAAGTTCAACAAGCATCAAGGACTCCCCAGTTCCTGAGCTACAAAGATTCTCTTCTACTAATCTTCCATTCATTTGTCTAACGATTTCATGATACCCTCTAAACTTGGGGGACAAAGCCATGGAAGTGAGGTGTAAATAACAATAAGCCTGGGACACACACCCACACACCCCTCCGTCTATGTCAGCTGTGTCCAATCTGGGCAACGTTAAGACTTGTGGACTTCAACTCCCAGAATTCCACAGCCAACCATGCTGGGAGTTGAAGTCCATGGGTCTCAAAGTTGCCCAGGTTGGACACCCCTATTCTACATCATGACCATGGTAGAAGAGCTAAAACAGACTTCTCCAACAGGACGGCCTTGAGCTGTTCTGGGCTTCAACACTTCCTAGTCAACATGGACAAACTTTAGGAGACACAAGTCAAGCTCATAAGAGACTATAGTTTGATGGGATTGTAGGTCACTTTGGAAGGAACCCAAATAGATAGATTAGGACTGCCTCCCCCAGATGGGCAACTCCCATGATTCTTTGGGTCAGGCTAGTTCAAGCTTTGGAGGGCTGTTTAGTGCCCAACGGGTCTAGAGGACTCCAAGTTGAGACGATGAGTGTAGAAGAACAGATAGGATGGGAAGTGGGTCTCTAAGAAGGTACAATGATCTCTGCCCTTTCTGGATTTCCAACAGGGTTGAGCAAACTAATGGTACAGCTGGAGGTGGGTCCTGGGGGAAAACATGACCATGAGCATGATGGACATGACCACAGCAACCATGGACATGATGGACATGACCACAGCAACCATGGACATGAGGGACATGACCACAGTGACCATGGACATGAGGGACATGACCACAGTGACCATGGACATGATGGACACACACACGATGAGCATGACCATGATCATGGAAATGCCACACACAGTCACCCAGATGGCCATGATCATGGAGACCACGAAGATCACTCAGACCATCATCACGGCAATGAAACAGGCCATCA